AGAGTAAATTAAACGCAGAAATCAATTTGGCGGGGTATAAATCATCTTATTTTTAATAAATCTTCACAAAAATCTTTTTTTATTGTTTCTATTCTTTTAGACCGCAAAGCATATTCTTATTCCTGGGATCGCCGATCCTCCTCGTTTTCGCGATCCGATCTCCTCGACAACTCAACACTCCATCTGTGAACCTAGCCAATTTCCCGGGATCAAAGCTAGCCCCGCAGATGTCACCCCCTTGTCGTCGAACTTCATAGACTGGCCTGCTTCAACAGAAAATGTGAGAGGCAGGGAACGACGACTACGGCAGAGTGGTTGGCCACTTCCTGGCAGGATTGCTTCTACCAACGTTCTGGAATCCAGTTCAGACGAAATCATGAATGCCCGACCTCGCGATTTAGAGCTTCTTCTGACGGCGCAACAGTTCAACGATGTAGTAGAATACCTTGCAGTTCCAGACAGTATTTGCACGCCTAGAGCTCTTGCAGTGATACAGGTACAACTCCCCTCTTTTGGCCTCCATAATGCATGAAGCAGGCTGATTTGGCTTGAAGACTTTCGCCTTCATGCGAAACAAAGTTGGGTTTCGATGAATCTCTTTGTTCATAGTTTTTGAGCCTACCTCCATTTTGAGTGAAAGCGTTTGCTAAAGTGATTCGAAGATCGTTCTCGCCGAAAAATGACGGCGGATTCCTCTTTACCAGCTGTTGATTGGCTTTACTGGAACGCTTTTTGATGTTGCTTCCGAGGCAGTCCCCTTTGATTGCGGTGAAAATGAGCTAAACTTTCGTCCATCCTATGACGAACATCATCATAGGAGTTGGGGTATAATTTTTACTACCATATTCAAGCTAACTTGTCACCGGAATTGAAGGAAAATGTCACGGAAACAGTGTCAATAAGAATGTTTCACTAAAGCCAATCGGCAACTGATCAAGAGAAATCAGCCGCAGTCTTCTTATAAGATCAATCTTCGGATCTCTCACCAAATACTCACCATTTATGCTTCATGCCCACCTCAGCCTTGTCTGATTCTAAGACTAATCCGAAGGAGATTGGTCTTCTGCTTCACTCAGCTGCGCTTCCTTCATCGAATATAGGATGAATTCGTCGTGTTTTGCAAAAAATCACCCATCGTATTTTTCTTCCTTATCTTACCTAATGGAATTAAGTTTTAATGCGTGTTTGCGTCGACCAATGTCGTGAGATCATGAGATGAAAGGCTTAAAAATATCCACATCTCTCTCCGAAATTTCTGTACCTAAATCCCAAAGCTGGGTAAAGTAAGCTTCACTTGTGTCAGTCGGTACTTATGCTCTCCTATTTGGGATTGGACAGCTTTTTAACGCAACTTTGGTCGGTTGTTGGTTCGTTTGGATAGTGTGCAAATTATTTTTTGATCAGTTACCTTGCTTTCCCAAAGTACTTTTGCATTTAAAATGGACAGTAGCTTCGGTATCCCCCGGTTATAAGTAGTATCTGTTCCCAGTCCTAGCGAATCATAAGTTATATGAGATGTATTCACCCTCTTTCATTTAAGATGATGAAGGACTGGTAGTAGAATTTTCCCACAATGATATGGTTAGAGCGGACGTTTCCATTGAATTTCACATAGCCTTGCTTTCTAAAAGTTGTTCTCAGCCAGGGTGGACTGCAGTTTCGACCTCGCATTGGTCTTAACAACACCCCTAGCGGGAGTCGGATCGTGACAATGCAGCATGTGAGCTTGAAACATTAACCACTCGGCCACATTGCCACGAGTGCCCTTGGCTCACAGGGCAGATATGAATTTCAAGGAAGGCCAGGGTGTTTCCTCATATCACATTTTTGGGTGCGATTGCCGATGAAGCAAACGTATTTTTGCTATAATAATCGACTACATTACTTATGTTTCGTATAGAAGTAGAGGCTCGAGACTACCATTAGATCAGTTATGTAAGATGTATTCACACGTGAAAATGACATCTGCCCTGCGACCCAAGCGCGCTCGTGGCAATGTGGCCGAGTTTTTGACGTGCGCTATCACGATTCGACTTCCGCTGTGTTGATAAGACCTTTGCGAGGTCAAAACTGTAGTCAAGCCTGGATGGGAACAACTTTTGCGAAAGCAAGGTCCTGTGAAATTCACCGTAAAAATCAGCTCTACTCACATTGTTGCGGGCAAATTCTACTACCAGTCCTTCATCACCTCAAATGAAATATTTTGAATACATCTCATATAGCTGATTTATTCGTTGTCTCGAAACTCTACTTCTATACAGAATGATAAGTTGAACACTTTATTATTGAGGTTGAGATGATTTTCTCTTGAGCTTATTTTGCGAATTTTAACTTTATTTTCACTGGGGATGGTGGTTTTTACCAGTTTTGTCTGGCTGAATGTACACTTATTTCGCATTGTGACTTAATTTTATCAAAGGATGCTACTTAAAAGTAATCTGAAACTGAGTGAATTTTTATTTTCGATAGTGGCTATCTTATCAAGATTTGACATGACAGTTGCCAATGGTTGATAAGATGATCTAGCGTTGCTACTGTATTTTGATCCCCCAAAAGCCTCAACGCGCAATGACAGAAATTTATATTCCTTATTGGCCTCTTCTGCATCCTTAGCGTTAATTGGGATCGAGTTTCTGTATAAGTATGCCTAAAGCCCACCATTTTCCACATTATTCTTGGCATTAAGGAGCCATTAATGCATGTGACAGGATTTGACTCCTAGATAACTTCCAGAACATGCAGTTCAATTGACATTCTCCCCGATATAACCCTCATTTTAAGCCGCTATCTCTCAGACTACCGACTGGATTTTCGGGTTCATTTCACTCCGCCTTTCAATGGTAGCTAAGAGGTCTAGAGACATTATCTTCGTACAGGACGCTCCGAAACCCAATATTTCAACATACTTATTAGCATCTGTTATTATTTGGTACTAGATAATGAGATTCGAATTATTTTGGGGTTATAGGTTACATTTTGTGCTCTGTAAAGTCAGTATGAAAGAATAATGGCAGGATCTCGTTATTAAATTGTATACCCTTGACAACTTTGTCTCATTGCCAGGCAGACTTTCATATAGTATGAAAGTGAATGAAGAAGTGATTCGTACGTTGCTCTTATCAGAAGACGATAGCTGAATCCTGTTGAACTGCAGCCGTCTGGCTTTGATACGAAGCCCAGGTTGACGCAGTCCACGAGACATCCTCCCTCGCTTCAGGTGAAAACGGGCTGAGCTTTCGTCCATCAAATGCCGGACATCTTCAGAGCTAGAACTCATTTGTGTAGAAGTCTTAAGTTAACAAAAACCAAGTTGTGAGGATTATCCTGCCCTATCTTACCTCTTATATGGACTCATTTAAGCAAAATGAGTATAATAGTTTGGCTAATTATCTTTCATATTAGTCCCTCTACTTTTGCTAATGTGCTAACCTCTGTACGCTATACTGATGCGTATAGACGTTAACATACACACATCCACACGCAGACTTGAGCAAAAGTAGCAGGACCAATGTGAAAGATAATTAGCCAAACCATCCTATATATATCTTTATCTATGCCTATCCATTTTGGCCTTTAGCTACGAGTATATACGAGGATAAGATACAGTCGGATAGTTTTCTTGACTTATTGTCTTCTAACTTGAGACTTTTACAAGAATGAGTTTCAGCTCTGATGATGTCCATCATTTGATGGACGAAAGCTCAACCTATCTTCACCCGAAACGAGGGAGGATGACTCGTGGAATGCGTAAACCTGAACGCCGTATTCAAGTCAAACGGCTGCAGTACAACGAAATTCAGCCGTCGTCTTCTGATGAGGTTCTCCTTAAAAAAAATGTTTGTGTACAAAGACACTTTTAAAACTTATTAGGTTATCTTCCTCTGAATTTATTTGTAGATCAATTAATTTTACAAAATCATTGGAATTTTTAAGATAATGTAGCCAAAAATCGGCATGTTTCCTTTGTTTTATACATATAAAAGGTGAGATTTTATGCATAAGCTTCCTTTAGTATAATTTCTAGAGGAGCATACAGAGATCAGACAAGGAATAAGATTGAGTATAGCGTGTATAGATAGATTTCATATCCTCTCCATGAGTAGCAAATATTTTACCCTGGATGGTAAGTTATTGGACAAGCACAAGGACTTGCGATGGGATCTTGCTTAGTTCTCATCTTGAAGAACAATTATATGTCAAGACTTGAGAAATGCTTCTTGAAAGAGG